ATAACCCACAAACCTAACAGATGCTGTCCTTGAGACAATTTTAGTAATGGCAGTTATCGAATAGAAAGGCACATTTATCAACAGATTGTCGGAGCACAGTCACTGAGAGATGTAAGAAAGTGTGGCAAAGACACCTCTTAGTTAATGAAAGTTCTTACAAATTTTAAATGAAAGAGAAGTAAGTATAAACCTTTTGAAGACAGATTTTTATTTGTGTGTGTATGTATTCTCTCTCTCTCTCTCTCTCTCTCTCTCTCTCTCTCTCTGTGTGTGTGCGTGTGTGTGTATTAATATATACATCATGCAGAAAGAGTAAAATTCCTAAATTGAATCTCAGTCTGTAATTGAGTATGGGTAGGTGTGTCAATGTGCATGTCAAGGTATTTGTTTGGAGGTCAGAGGGAATAGCCTTAGGAGTCAGACCTTGCTCACCTTCTAACTTGAGATGATGTCTCGTGTTCTCTTTTGCAGACCCTAGGCTGTCTAGTCCAGACATATCCTGTTTGTGCTTCCTTCTCCGCTCCCAATAGGTGTTCTCTGCTATTCACACATATGTATGCTACCTTCTCAGTCCTTTCAGTGGGTTCTATAAATTGGAACATAGGTTGTCATGCCTGTGCAACAATCTGTTTACCCACTAATTCATCACCTGAGCCCTTGAAAATAATTTTTTATGATAAGTTTAGTACAGATTGCACAGACAATGTCAAATAGGTTACACATATGACTGTAAGGTCAATGCCGTGTGAAAATTCGTATTAAGGAATTAATAGCTCTCATTACCTGGAAAGTTAATAGTGGGATGCTTATCAGTTCTTGAGTTTTTCTTCTTTGAGATTAAATCAAACCAATTATAAGAAATAGTTCACTTAAATACTGTTAGCCAATAATTTTCCTCTATTGTCTGTTGAAGAAAATAACATCTTGAAAAAGTTGCAGGTGACTTCTGTTTAACTATGAGAAGAAAACCCTGAAAACCCTTAAATCTTCAACTGTCTGTCTTTTGTTCTGTGAAGGAAATCTACTCACGGGAAGCATACTCTTGTGCTTTGCAAATTTAAGTTGCTGACACAATAAGGGACAATAAGCAATGAATTAAATGTCATCAATAGGTGTTTTTTAAAAGTCTGAATTTTTTTAAACAGAAGGACTCCAACACAAATATGTAGTCCATACAAATACCAAATGGAGTAATCTTGACTTATTAATGGCAAATAATTTCACAACTACAAGGGAAAATGTCAGAGTTCAGAATAGTTAGATCAAAGGGGAACCAACTGTCAGAAAACAAAGGTAACATATACACACACACGCACACACTGAAGCAAACCAGGTGATTGGATTTGAGACTTACCGACATAGAACTTTCTCCCTCCCCACCCCCATTTCCTTTTCCACCAATTCATTTTCCTACACTAAGAAACACGTATTTCACCATTCTATCTCTGATTCTCTTACATGAGCAAAGGCTCCTGGATATCAGTAACAGTACACTGCAAGACATGATCATACATTGGCACCTTAGCATCTTATGCCTACGGAATGTAGTTATATTTGCAATAGTGTCTTGCTGAAAACTGTATCCATTCATTCTTGTAAGAGGTCAAAGGAGATTATGCCAAATTAGAAAAGATTTGTAATTAAGTCTGGAGAGTGAATAGTGTGTGTTGGAGAGATTTCATAAAGCAGTGGGGGTTTTTTTTGTAAAAATTATTTTTATTAACCAAACAAGTATTTCCCTAGAGAGAATGAGTTTTTAAAAGTTTGACAATGTGATGTGCCAAAGTTAAGCCTGGCAATCTGCACTTTATCAGAGAATAAAGAACAACACATTTGTCTATAATTTATGGTGAATATTTGTCCTATGATTAAGAAAAGGAAATTGTCCTGAGAGCAAACGGACTCTAAATATATTGCTAATCTGTGCTTCAAGGTCTTAGAAGTCTCTGAGGCTGGCCAGAGTTGTTCTGAACGCCTGCTGGTTTGTCTCCATCTCTCTGATATAAATGTTTCCTCTGTGACTTTCTTTGCAGGTCTACTGTAGAAGCCTATCTTTGAGAAGGATGTTAAGAGCACACATAAAAAGCTTGTGCAAAAATAAATGATAGCACCTCAGGCTTCTTAACTTTATACTATAATACACTGGACCCTTCTACCTTTACCCATTTGGAGGGGATTCTGTAATGAAAGGAAAGAGAAATGAATTGCATACCATATGAAGGGAACCTTTATTACCATTTTTTAAAGTTCACAGACACATAAAGGGAGGGCACATTCACCGTGTGGAAGGACCCAATGCTAAAGAGATCCACTAGGTTAGTAATGAGAAAAGTAGTATGATCGGGGGAAGGAAAATCATTTTGAAGCACTGTGAATTTGTAAACTTTTCACAAAAGCTTCCAGAAGATTTACCAAAGGGAAATAAGATTCTCACGTGAAATTCCAAAGAGATAGAGTTTGTCTTTCCTATCCTGTTCTTGGGATCATTAAAAATACTCAATACATCCATAGATGGCTGGAGATCATAGGAATGAAATTACAGACATCAGAAATCAACTTTCAGGACTGCTCAATGAGAAGCTATGGTAGAAGGCTCACACTTTGAGGTACCATTGTATACGCTTAACCCTGGCATAGCATGCAGTAATCATTGCTGTTTTGGGTTAGGACAGAGACAGGGCGGTCATTCAGAACATTGCTTCACTATAGATAGATAGCATTTATTTTCAGTTGTATGAGCTGGGTGGGCTTCATGCTCCACACCTTGGTTGTGGTAGAGGCTTTTAGGTTTTGTGGCAGACAATCAGTGCTTGGGACTTGCCCTCCATTGCTCCCTATTATGTATTCATTATTTCTAGATTTTTTTTTCTGCTTCAGCAATGCTCTCGCCAGAGCTCTGGTCCTTCCCAGACAACATATCATTGAGATATGCAAAAAAGAAAATTAAAATACAAGAGTTTTATTGTTATTATTATTTTAATGACTCAAGGCCTGCTTGACGTTTGCATTTAAATTAGACAGACTAATTCAGATGGGGCTTTTAATTTCAGGAGGTTAATCGCCCTAACAAAGGTCAGTAAAACTTGAATCTTCAGTAGAATTGCTATGGACCCAATCACTTGCAGGACATTTACCATATTCCTATTTCCATGTGAAAGAACACATTTTATTCATTATGTGTCACTAATCTTCTCTTTACATTAGCACATTTGACTAAAAATATTAAACTCTTGCAAAACTCTGACAAAAGTTAATTTCTATCTATCTTAAGAGAAAACTTTTCTTTTTAAAATGACAAATCCAGACTCTCAGCTGTGAATGACTTTTCTAGCCCTTTCTAACCCTTAGATACTCATCAGAGTTCTTGCATTGACAAATCTCAAGTACACAATGTAACATGTTTTGGTTAAAATAGCAGTGTGTGGTTACTGGAGATAATTGCCCACATTGTCTCTGACTATGATGATCATCTGTTTGATTCTACTGAAGAAGCTTATTGAAAATAAAAACTATTGATTTGGAGGAAGCACACATTAATCCAATTTGGAGAACATCAGACCACCTAAATTCACTAATTTACTCCATAACTGTGTATTGAGATTTATAGTGAGTGCCCATTATGTGGAAGATACAGGAGAAGGGAACTTTAAAAAATTAAAAGGTCTCTATTATGATACATTTTGCCATGAAAATGATCCTCCGGCTATAACAAAACAATCAAAATCTTCACTTTCACCTTTTCTGACCAGATTTATTGTGCTTTAGTGAAGAGTTGAGAACACTTAAAGTCAAATTATACCATAATTTTGATAAACAATGCATAAAATTATTTGCATACTTAAATACTTCAGGACTCATAATTCCACAAGGTGATTAAGTTATATTATTTTGATAATATAAAATTTGATTATCAAAATTTCAAATCAACATATTGAGAACATAATGCTTTCTAAGGCCAGGAATCAAATCATGAAAAAGTTGAAACTGGCCATGTTTAAAACACATATACTATACATTCCTTTTTAAAAAGATCATAAGCTTTGAAAACTGCTATGAGCACAAAAGACAGCAGTGATAGGCAAAAGTTAAATTACCGGTTTTTGTCCCGGCAAATTGGCCTGGATTAAGGGAAAAGTAAAGCAGCCTGAATGTATGTCCCCAATTCTATTGCACATCAATCACCAGGATCCTATGGCAGTGGTGTGACACAGCATAAATAACTCAAACTTGTCTTTTGCGTAGTCTGGAGACCCTTTCCTTCTCCTTTGTACTCAGATAAAGTGCACAGGCATATCCACAAAGGCGCATGGCTCTCCTCATCAATATTCACACTCATTAATTAACAGTATGTGAAGGCTATAATTCGAGAAACACTCCAGAGTGTGAATATTCAATCAAGCCAAGCAAATAACAGTCTAAAGAAAATACAGGTGGGACAATCACAGGCCAGACTGACAATGGAGAGAACAATGTTTCAGGAAATATTCTGGGAGTAAGAGAGGTTACTTGCTGTGTGTGTTCTAACTCAAGGACAAAGACCACCCACCCCTCTCCAATTTGAACCCTTCTTCAAACTAAGATAGACTCTACAGTTCTCTTTCTGAGCTTGCCTGTTAATCCCTCTTTTGAGTTGACACAAAAGGAGGCAAAACAACAGACTTTTACATGGTTAAGCAAAAATCTACAATATCCCACAATGTAATCAATTGATATTTGCAATCAAATAGTTATTCTGAAAATTATAAAAAAGCTAGATAGAAAAGTTAGAATATTGTTCTATAATCTATCTCAGTATCAAAAGCTATTTGAATATAGTTTTAAATTTTCAGATTTTTGAAGAATAAAATCTTAACGTTTTCAGAGAATGTCATACAAATGATCAAAAAACATGGATTTTTTAATAAGGCATTTCAGTCACGAAACAGGAAGGAACCCACAAAACTACTGCACAAAAATTTTAACAAGAGAACTCTGGATGTAGAATTATAAAGGAAACATACCTTTGGTTGAATAAGTTCACAATTTTTCTTCTTGCTGCATAACCTTGCCGTTCCACCTGAAGCAGAAGTCGACTCCGAATCCCCTGTGATCTTGGTGACAATGCCATCGTACCACTGGTCAGTTTTTCAATTAAACTTTGCAGATGTGGTAGCAACTTTGTTAATTATGATATTAGCCAGCTGGCAAGGACAATCAGTCACCCACTGTAAGGAAGCCAGACAAAGAGACATCTAATCATTGCAACCAGGGCAGATAAATTTTGTTCCCTTCTCGCACGAGTCACAGATTCCATCCCTGCTGACCCTCTCCTCAGCCATCGACTGTCAAATTTAGAATCCGCCAGCCCCCAAGCTTCCCTTTATCCCTGCCTCAGATCTGAAACTCCTGGTTATCAGGAAGACACACGTCACTAGCTGTCTCAGCGCAGGAAAGCAATCAGGTGAATACGACTTATTATCTTGCATTGCTTTCCGAGGACTGACAAGATTGATTTGAGACTAAGAACACACTCAGATCTGAAACATGTAGTTCCGAGTGTTTTGAGTTCAGACAACAGGCTTGCTGCAGTTATAATAGAGGAGTGAACCTCCAGCTCAGGACTAAGGCTGTAGGATGATGCACATTTACATAGAGAGTAAAAAGCACCTATCACGGTCTTCTATCTCTGATGCCCTTCTGTTTTCCTCAGCTTCATGCTGGGTAGCCTTAGATCATCCCTGGGGAAGTTATGCTCTGATATGACGTCACCTGTACCCATTATTTTTGCATGTGGGGACATCATACAAGAGGGTTCCAAGTCTCCACATTTGGTTGAATTAGCCTAAAATCTAAGAAAATAGGCACACATATTGAATAATTTAAAGCCATCCAATGGAAAGAATGGGATGTATTTATTTGGGGTAGTGTGTGCTGGTGTAGGGAGGGGCTCCAAAATCCCATCAGAATTAGAATGGAAGGTCTTAGAAATTTTAAAAATATATTTATATATTCATGTCTATGTTGAGCTAGGTTTCTTCTTGAAAGCATCATAATCTTTAACCTTGATCTCTTGAGGATGGCATTTTAAGAAATGAATCATAAAAAGCAAAAGAACAAAGATGTTGGAAATGTCAGAGGATGGGTGTTTGAGGTGGCTCAGTTTCAAGGAGAGAAGCTTTGATGCCCACTTTCAATATGCTTTGCTTGGGAGTGAGTTCCTCCTGCCGTGTTCACTATGACAGCTTTGGCAGCTATGTGAGGTCTTAGCACAGTGTAGTAACTCAAGGCATATATGTTGATGAAGAGTGGCTACCTGGTGTATGCAAATCATCTTAATGCAAAAATTCAGTCTTCAGGCCCTGTATTGATAAACAATTAATCATTTATATACTTACTCTTAAATATATTTTCAAATTAACCCAAAAACTTAATTCTCAAAAGGGGCAGTTAAAATAAGCATTTTTAAAAGAATGCCAAAAATATTAACAATTCTCCCATGAAATGATTACTATTCAGGATGTTACAAGTTGTCTAAAAGATCTTTACTCAGACTAAAAGGGAGATTTTCCTCTTAGAAAATTCAGACAACAAAATATACTACACACAAAGGTTTTCATTGCTGTAGAACCCGTAAGAGAGGAGTAATGAATTCTACATCTCTAAAGAAAGAAATTAATGAATACATTTTGGCATTGGCTCATATGTAGTCACGATGAGATTATAACGAAGACTGAGAAAACTGTCATTTGAAGTGAATGCTAACTTCTCATGATGATGCTTACTGAAAAGTCCAGAATGAGCCATGCCTGATAGAAACCATAGCCGTTCCTATCAGTCATGGTTGGAAGGCCGGGGGTTCCCAAGAACTGCACTGGTCAAGTCAGTGCTTACATATATTTCCTGCGACATGTCTCTCTACTTTAAATTATACTTAAGATAATTAATATGAAGTATATAACATATAAAAACATCTGCATGCTTCTAATTCTGATGTCATGGCTTTTTCCCTGACTATTGCAACCTGTGGGTAGCTGAATTCACAGGCACAGAACTGATAGATATGTAACATCAAGGTTGTCACAGACTACGAGGAAGCATTGTCTCTTTCACCATTGTGACACCTCATCCTCAACAGTAGACAAGAAGACCTCAGCTACCAAACAGGCACAGTAATCAGATTGACTACACAGGAGGAATTTGGTGTCATAGTAGACAATGCATGTAAAATCCTTTGCACATGTCCTGAACTTCATTATGTAACTTAATTATTTCTCTTATTATAATTACCGTACAAATAATTATCACATGTTTTCTGGTTTTTTATCAGGAATTATCCAATATCCACGAAGCTAAGTGAAGTATTTTGAAATAAGGAAACTGTGGTATTTTCAACTCAAAATTCCACACATAGATATATGACTAAGATTGCAAAACTTGAAAAGCATAAAAAAATTCAACAGTAAAAATACTAATAATAGCTCCCAAATAAACAAAATTTCAGCCACAAATTATAACTGGACCTAGAAAACAGGTTATCAAATATACAGGTTCTGTTAAAAAGTCTACATAGGTTTGAATTTACCAGGGCTGTCTTTATCCATGAAGATAAGAATTTCCAGAAACATGGCAATTGCAGCCTGGATTTGACAGAGAATGAACAGCACGGAGAGAGGCCCAAGCTCCTGCTTTGCTTAAAATGCACCTTACCTCATTTGACACTTGCTGATTTCTGCTGCCAGTGGTCCCAAAGCCTGACTCAGAGCAGAGCCATCCAGTGCATCTTACCATGATAGACTGTTGTTATATAAACATGACACATGGGTGTGGGATATTTTAAAGGTTGAAGCAATCAATGAGGATGAGTCACTCTCCATATGAAGCTACTCTCCTGGGATGAAGATCCCCTTGGGGTCCACATAGGCCACTAAGCTTGAGTCTGCTGTAGATGCTCTTGGAAGTCTGCCCTAAATCCTCCCCCAGTGTCTCATACCTAGCCCTCTGGTGACTTGAATATGTTTAATTACATCTCACATGTATTTAATTTCATATCTGCCTTTCAGAACATTATACATGCAAGTGAATACCTGGAATTACCTCCTCTGATTGTCTTTGTCTCAGGAGTCTGATGTCCTATCTTTTTTCCATCCTTAGATCTTAACTTATTATCTCTGAGACTTTGGGGAAATTATTAAACCTCATTAGGACAATTAGACAACAATAACATATTATAATACTATGACAAAGGTTGCACATAATAGTTTCCAGCTGCTTATCATACTGTAGGTATCTAATAAATTCCCCATCACTAACACAGCAGCAACAGAATTACTGGAAATCCTATTTTTTGAAAAACAGCAGAGGCTGTTCTTTGAGTGGACTCAAAGCCCGGCTTTCTCCACTGATTAATAACAACAATAATACAAGAGTTAATATCTACCTCAATGAGAAATAAGAATTAAAGGTGTAATTACAAAGTAACACATAGTAAATTGTGTTGCCAATTATTATTGCTCTGCCTTCTAGACTAATTGGTAAGTAATTTGCTGTTGTTTAACTCATTTCAGGCAAAACAAATAAGAACTTAGAATGTGAAAACCTGGGAATACACAACAGTCACTATATATATATATGTATAATATATAATAAATTATGCTGTGATATGCTATCTACATATGTACATATATGTATGCAATATATATGTACATATACACATGTGATGCATCTACAGATGTTCACATATGACTGATGATGCATGGGAAAGAGCCTAGATGTAGCACCATTTGTAATAGGAAAAGTGTACTATAATGATGCCATGAAGTTACTAAAATAAATGCAGAAGTTTCAAGATATACACACTTAGTGATTACTGTAGTTGCATACACATTCGTGTGGTTTTAAAAACTATTAACATGTATACAAAATCTTTGTACAGAAAGACTTTTGGGAAGGAGGTGGAGGTTGGATAAGAAGGGACAGGGAGATGCGTTGGAAGAGGTGTATTATCTGAAATTCACAAAAAGTCAATACAAACTTAATAAAGGAAAGCTTTGTTGTTCTTACTTGGATGGGTAGTTTTGTGTAAATAGTTTTTGTGTTAAAAGCTCTGGAAATTTCCATGTTTCCCATAGCTGTGAATAGTATTCACAGGATTTGTGTGCCTGGGTGATAAGCAAGGAGGGCACAGGGCAACAAGGAAATATATTATTTTTCACCTTTCTCATTCACTTACCTTGCAGAGCAGAATTTAGTCGTTTTCAGTCTTGGATTCGGTGCAAATGTGCAATAAAAGCACACTTTTTTTTGCTTATTCCCTATGTTATCTTCTGGCAGATGCGAAGGAAAGAAAAATAAATGATTACATATTTCCTAATGAAAAGAAGGGTCATACCTTAAAAGTATTTTTATAAGTACAGACACAATTTCTTTTAAGCTGGGCCTATTTTCTTTCTCGTAACATAGGATTGCAGTTACAGTTTATATTCATCATGTTTGGCACAATAACAAAATAAGCTATTAACACAATCCTTTCAAAAAACTTCTCTTGTGCAACTAAATATTCATGTCTTTTCCTTATAAAGCTACCTACAGCTAAATGGTTTCATCAATAAGACCATTGTAAGCAGATACAGCATAGCTTGTAATAATTCTAGAAGCATATCCTGAGCGTCCGTGATTATTTATTTTTGCTAAGAGCTAATTCCCTTGAATTGCTTGAGGGTAATTGTTTTAAAAAGAGAATGGGAAAATAATACTCTGAATTTAAAAGTCTAGCATTCAGGTAACATCTTACAAGAGGATATATAATTTAGCCCCTAGTTTTGATATTGTTTCCCTTTTCACGGTTTCTTCCACTGAAATCCATAAGAAAACATTTATAACATAGACAAGTATAACAGACTCAAAATATGTTTGTAGGAAAATATATCCATGAAGCAATACTTAGCCTCATGTAAGCAGTACATTCGATATTTATAATTTTTGTATTGTTTATTTTAAATACTTGTTAAATTTCTTAATTCACTCTGTGTGTGTGTGTGTGTACGCGCACGTGTGCACTGTGTACATATCTATATGAATACTCATGGGGGAGTAGGTGTTTTCATGTGCATAGAGGCTGGAAAGGGATGTCATGTGCCTTGATTTTCCAGTCTTGTATATTGAGGCAGGGTCTGTTGTTTGAACCCAGAGGTCACCATTTCAGCTGGTATACCCATCCAGTCTGCTTTAGGGCTGCTCTGTCTTTGCCTTCTGAGCAGTAGGAACACAGGCAAGCCTTCACACCCACCAACATGCATGTGGGTATTGGGATCTGAAGTCCAACTGTCGTGGTTGTGTTGCAGGAACTTTACCAAGTGAGCTATCTCTCAAGTCTCCTTGTGGCCTTTTAAGTGGCTGTCCATGCTCACACTCCTGAAGCCACTCAGCAGACTCTGGGACCTGAACCTGATCCTTTGAAAGATGTTCAAGGAGTGACGCTACAGCTACAGTGTGATAGCCATAGACCTAAAGGAACAGCCAGCAAGTCTATATGCAAGGGCATTTAAGAGAAATTCCTTCAGGGGGAAACCATTTCCCCATCAACAAATTCAACACAAATGGTTTCTCTATCACCTTCCCTGGAGCTAAATGCAAAAAAAAAATATGGAGACTTAAAGTGATAGTGGTAAATTTTATTGCTCAGTTACTTCTAAGGACTAATAAGAAAGCAAGGTAGAAAGTTATATTTCCTTAAGTATTGCAGTAACAGTCTGAATGCCATCATTCCAACACACTTTCAGGAGCATGTAAATCACAAGAAAGCACAAACACAAAAACCCGTGATTTTAAACTGTCTTGGCCTATAACATTGGGGAAAGGCCAAACAAGGCCTTTAAAGAAGTCCAAACAATAGGCTGGATGGAGTATAAGCATTTTACTTCACTGTTAGGGAAGCACATGAGTCAGGCAAGTGAAGATGAAGGAAACCAAGTGAAACACCCTGAAACAAGCCATCTATGCTTGACTGGGCTCTAAGGCTTTTCTCTCCAGTTGAAACACTAAATGGCTAAGTAAATAAAACTGTATCCTAGTTGGTGGCAAGCTAGACATAGTAGATATGAGCAAAGCTATCCTCAGTATATGTCTCTGAGCACTTGTGCCTACAGAGAGATTGAATAACCTTTTGCATATCTTTCCTGCAGAGTTATTCTAAGCCTCCATAGGAAAAATAAAAATAGCCTTGAAAAATCTGAGTTCAGAATTGGATATCTCACTGGAGCTTGAGGGTGGACCACAATTTAGCATGCTATGAAACAATGTTGTAATTGTGATGATGAATCAAATTCTTCATGTTTTTTACATCTTTCAGTGTATCTAAGAAAAGCATTTATTCTGACAATCCACAAAGAGCCATTAGTAGATTTAGTTCACATATGTTGGGATAAAGTTTGCCCTAAAAGGAACAGACAAGTCATCTGGCCACATCACTATCTTCCTCTCCAAGAGATATTTGCATAACTCTCAAAGGCCTCTGGCTTTTAGGAGACATCAATTCCTTGCTCAATGGGAATTATTCTGACAGCTTTGACATTACATTATCATCACAAGATCATGGTATACTTAAAGGAAAATGAAGATCCATGAGAATTAAAAGTAAAAATAATTCAAGTCTCTCAAATGCTTGATCAATATCACAATAATTTACATCAAAACTTGATAACTTAGAGTTCAATTAGCTGTCATTCCATGTGCTTCAAGGGGACGGTATAAACAACATAAAACTAAATAATTCCAAATAAATCCCTTCTCAATATGTCTCTCTTTCCACTTCATACAAGAACACATATATTATATATTATATATTCTTCACTTTAAATATTGGTTTTTTAAAGGTATTTTAGCATCCTAACCTGAAATTGATTTCTCTGTATAACTCGTTCTGGTTCACATGATTTTCTCTGCAACCCAGATTTCTTCATTCTCATTTTTAAAAATGAGTATTTTTTGGTAGAATCTCTAAGTAGGATTTTTCCCCCACAATGTCATCTATTAATAAGCTTTCATGCTATTATACCAACTTACAAAATTGCAAAGACGGATAATTGTCATTGTCTTTTCATGTGACCCTACTTCCTCAGATACATGGATAGAGTATAATTAGCTATACTCTACATCTGGTAGTCTTGTCCAGAGTAGTGAATTAAAACACATTATTTTTTTCTAGAAAGCTCACCATGTCACAAAGAGGTTAAAAAAATGATGTTTTTAATTTGAGTTTTAAATAACAATATTTGTTTGTTGGAGTAATCGTGGATTTGCTACGGGAATACTAGGTAGAACTAGAGTTTGAAAGAAAGCATTGGGCAGAAAGATGAAACAGACGCAATACACAGCTAAGATCAAAGAGCCCCATCAATTCATTCCCAGAGTCAAAATCCAGCTGAGCCGCAGAGCCCTGTCTGCATAATAAGAAAGCTTGACTGAAACAAGGATTAAGCAGGTGGGCTATGTCCTGCAGAGGCAAGGGAGGGAAGCCCCACGGAGATACTTGTAAAGACACTTTGGAAGCTCACACCTGCGCCTCCCCAAGCAACCTACATGACACTAATGTGGCCAAAGACACATTTGCTTTAAAGAAAGAAAAGTGTTTCAAGTATGCTTGTTTTATTCTTCCAGATAATTTCTTCCCTAGCAAACTACAAATTAATAAATTGTTTCTGTTTCACCAAGGTTACATACCTGGTGCTCAACTTTCAAAATATGATAGGAAACAGATATTGGGCCTTGAAATCTTGTTGGGGGATGGCTACCTCACAAAATTCCTCTTCCTCAAATGAATAGTGCTTTATAAGTCAACCTTACAAGCATTACTCAATATCATTTGATTTTGCAACCTCAGAAAGTATGATTTTCAGTCTCATGAGCAATGCTTCAAATGTGTTGTAAATACATTGCCAAGTTCTACTTATGTCAACACGAATCATATAACTTAGCTCTATGCACTAAGAAAGAAGCCCAGGAATTAAAAATAGTTAAAAGAGTCTGTCCCAGTGTCACTTACTCTAATAACCTCAGTACAATGTTAGTTTGTAACTATTGACAAATTGTTCTGAACGTCAAAATAATTTTCTTTGAAGAAAACTGATTTAAAGTTAAAGTTAAGCAAGCTAGGTTTTTCGAAAGATAGAATGACAAGGGAGTGCCAGTTTGTTTTATATGATAAATTTCAAATAACATTTACAAACTCTAACTTTAGTGCCGATTAACTTCCTCAAGCATCGAACAATCCGTGATTTAAATATTTAAATATGTAGTTAATACACTCAAATAAGTGACAAGCATTAGCTTTTATTGTATTCACCAAAATAAGGAACGTCCAATTAGCAGCTAGAAGAACATTGTCTCCCTGGAGTGTGGGCTTTAGCTTGCTGTTGACGTTATTATTCATTTCCTCAGTCAACCATTTTTGTAGAGTGTTGGATGTATAAGACAATGCCAGGGACATAGGGAAAAATCATATATAAATCACAGGCACAAAGAGAAACCTGAATGCCATGTATATGAAAAAAGAGGTATCTGTAATAGTAGACCATTGTGGAAAATATACAAATGTCACATGTAAGAAGTAAGGTTAGGCTTAGGATTTGGTAACGAGAGACAGGTAGAAAACAGAGTCAGCTTTCCAGGGGTAAGGACCAGACATGGAATGAATCTTCTCTGAGTGAATAGGTGGTGCTATTTGGCTAGAAAGCAGAGAAATGTGCCTAATAAAATGACCACAGGATTCAGTACAAGGAGTCGTCAATACTCTAGAAGCAAATGAAATTTTCTTTCCCAGCTTTTCTCAAAATTCGAACTTGAGAATCACCTTCCAGGCCTTTGGCTCAAATTCAAAAGTTAACAGACCAACTTCAGTCATCCAGACTCTAAATCATTGGAGAGAAGACATGGCAACCAGAGATTTGAACGCATCTGCAGAATACATTATTTTAATTTCTGTGAGGCAGCCGGAAACTTTAAGAGCATTTTGAAAGATGAGAAATAAAGGAGAGCTGAGAGAGGCCCTGGACAAGAAGTTGAAGTCTAGTTCCTTATTTTTGTTCAGGTATTTAGCAACAATAATTATTTTTGTTCAAAGTACACATCAATGTTTTCATTTTTTTAAAGCATTATCCAAAAGCCTCATCAGTTTTTCCTATGTTTAAATTATTCATATTACTTTTAAGAATGACTTTGACATTTTCATAAACCCATTTTTAACAGAATATTTTCTATTCTGCTGCTGATAATCCTAATTCAAGTGCCATTTTAGGATGCATAACTTAACTCTGACCATTAAAACAAA